AGAAGAAGTAATAACGAGGGAAAGATTGTAAACTACAAGCATCAGTGGAAGTAACCAGATGAAAGTTGTCAGATTGCCCATGGCAAGGTACAGTTTCCTGAGGTTGAGAATTGATGAAAATTCAAAATGGGTTTACGAACATTCCCTTATGAGCTTCTCCATGGCCCCAAAACCAAAAAATAGTGAGCTAATCACTCATTTTAATTTTTCAATGAATGCAAAAGGACAAACAATACATAACCAAAAACTATTAATCTGGAAACAATCGCGATGCTTTTAATAGTGGAAATTAGGAAAGTGTCACACAACATTTCAAGAGATACTTTTAACCAGTGCTTCCATACAAAACCTTTATCATCAAGGCATTCATTACTTGAATTTTCTAGAAACTGAATTGAAACGAAACCTACCCTAATTCTGAGCATAAAATTAAGTTTCTTTGATATTTAGTTCTCAAACATACTGATATAAGCCTTGAAGATATTATATATATAATAAGAAAAGAGTCGCTGAATCACTGGCCAACAAAGGATGTAACCAACAGGTAAAATTGGGGATAGGAATGGCCCACGACAACCCCAGGCCCAACCCGACTAAGTAATAGCCTGGTCCAAATCTAAGTGGGCCTAGCTAGTTGGGCACATATCTGGCCATACTAAACTATTCTTGCCACGCCTGGACCCAGCCCCACTTCAAATAGAGTTTTTGGGGCCTGGTGAATCTTGTCCTAACCGAGCTTCTCTTTTAAAAGAGCTATATATTGCTTGTAGTTATGGTTTAAATGAAATGAGTCTTTTTTCTGAAGTCACAAATGAAGTAACAGTCAAAGTAAGCCCAAGTTATTGGCCTAATTGGTTTTTGCCTATATGCATTTGGTTAGAGGTTAGAATGGGTCAGGTCCAGTCCGAGTCAGGGTCTAAATTAGACCAAGATCTTACCCGGACCCGGTTCGGGCCCAGGTCCAAGTCTATAAATAAAAGTACGCATAAAAATTTATTTTATATATTTTATACTACATGATTAGTATTATTTATATGTCATTCATATTTATATTCGGGTAAGGTTGGCCTCGACCAATGCCCAACCCCATCCAATAAGATCCATGCTACACCCCGATCTCGACCCGATCAAGTCAAGGTCAACTGGACCCTGACTGAACCCGGACCAGGTCGGGTCAAGCACTACTTATTTTTCATAAATCTCTCTCTCTCTCTCTCTCTCTCTCTCTCTCTCTCTCTCACACACACACACACACACACACACACATTTATGCCTCTAACTCTCAACAACGAAAAAATAGGGGAAGGGAAGAGAAGAGAGAAAGTTTCTCCATAAGAATCCCTTTAAGCTTCTAGTTATAAGATATTAGATAATAGTACATTATATTAAGATATTATATAATAGTACATTATATTAAAAATTGTCATTTAGTGTATAAAAAATATAATGAAATAATATTATATAATCAATGACATACTAATAGATTATGTATACTATTATTATAATAAATTAAATAGGACATCTAAAATATTCGGATCGGGTCAGGTAAGGTCAACCTAGACCCAAACCAAGGTCAACCTAGACCCAAACCCCACCAGGCCTACTGTCAGGTTCCTACTTCTGGACCCAAACCCGACCCATCAGTTCCAGAAATAGGACCCAAACCCGAACCCAAGTCGGGTCCACCCATCGCTTTGCCATGTTGACACGACCCGTTACCCACCCCTACACTTGGTAACCTAAGAAATCATCATGCACTAGCATAAGTGCAAAAGCTGATAGGCCATTTTAAACATCAAACTGTAAAGGGAAGTTTCGTCTTTTGGTAATACAGGGGTACTACAGGCCAGGCTGAGTCGGCCCATCCTAGTGTTATGAAACTCGTCATCAAACAGGTGGGGGCACCTACCTGATCCAAAACCAGTCGGACCAGCCATTTTATAGGTCAGACCATTCCAAAAAACAAATGAAAAGGTACCTCTTCTATTATCAGCCAGCCATTCCGATAGGTTTGACTAGTTTGGCGACTCGGTGATTGGATGGGACCAGTTCTAGAACTGGCTACCTGTGGGACCATCCAGTTCATTCTGGTCTTGTAACTGATTCCTGGTCAGACCAGCCGGTTCATTCCGGTCTTGCAATAACCTTGGCCCGAGCCCTCTGTATCTAGGCCCAATCTGATTATGATTCACATCAAGGATCCCAGGAACAGGCTAACCCCATAAACTAAGGACCCACATAAAACCCGGCCCAAGTTAGACAAGGCATGACAGGCCCACCAAGCCGGGCCAGCCTGTTTCAATCCTTGGCTTAAAATTTATAATGGTCGCTCATGGCTTACCAAAATCAACAGTTCAACCATGTCTCGAGTCACATGATTAGAGAAACAATAGAAAAGACTCAACCCAATCCCTCAAAGACTCACAAGTCTCAAATCATCCGAATATCAGTCTTAAAGAAAGTTTTACAACGAGCAATTCTTTAACAAGCCATTTTTCCATTTCAAGATGAATAAAATAAGTCACCCTAACCATAATATGTCCACATCATTATCAAGTAATGGCATGCCACACCTCAACAATAAAAATTCTAATTTTTCTGCTCATTCTTTCCGTTTCATAAAAGCCACAATGAAGCCCTAATGTAGGAATTTCATCATCCTACACTGATCCTTCCAAATCACAAAAAATGCAGAAAATGGAATTTCTTTGGCTTGTTACACAAATAACTTATAGCCTAGTTTAAAACAAACCCCTATATCCCTTTTATTAGAAAAAAGGGAAACAAAATTCAGAACCAAAATATAATGAAGCCGCAAACCAGTCAGGAAGAATTGATCACTTACTTGAGGATGTTAAATCCATCAAGATAGCCAATTATACCCAAGCCAGTTTGAAAGAAAATCACTTGTGGCTGTCAGTGGAGGGCCAACCCACAAGAAGTGTTTCCTACAATGGGATGAGAACAAGAATTTTCTATTGCCATCCCAGACGTAAAAACACCACTCTTACATGTACGCCATTCCGTAAAGTGTATTAATACATCACCAAAGGGACATTGGTGTTGAGCCTTGACCACAAGTCTGCCCATACCTGAAAGGCTATACTAATGTATTTTGCAGGCCAATCCAAAATAGCTGTTAGGATTCAGGAGTGGCCTTGTCAAAGTGTTTACAATAACAATTACATCCCGTGTTCAAACTTCAAATCTGACAACTGAAAAATCATCTCAGCCAACAATCGGCCAATAGAGACAAAAACTGAGAAGAAAAACACAAGAAGGCACCACAAGAAGAAAGAGAAAGGGAAAAGCCAAGAGAAGTCTCTCTCTCTCT